TTTCATAACTAATTTTATATCCATTTCCTTCCCCCAAAAAAGTGAATTATATGCCATTAGGGAAATGACAAGCTACCGCCTTTGTGAGAAAAATATTATATAATTCATTCAACTGATTCATTAAAAACATTTTGAGTTAATCAGTTTTTTTTTCCAGTATTGTGTGTTTTGCTATGAGATATGTAACATTGTTACTTCATTTGGAACTATTTTCATTGGCGGTGCAAAAATAGACAAATTAACTGGGAATATACAGTAAGGTATTTTAAATTAAAGTTATATTTATTGAACTGACATAAAAGCAATATTATGTGCTGTTAGTCTGATTCTCGACATTAGCGCTTGTGAGTATTTAGGTGTGGTTACACAGACACTATTATAAAATGATATAGTAAGTTACAGATGAGGTGACTACATGTCCTTGCCAAAGTAATAATAGTAAATTAAGTATAATTACAAGTAACTAACCCACCTAAACCAAACCCTAACCGTAAGTAGGCCTATATAATATCACTCAGTACTTATTTGAGTAAGTACAATGTAACTACGTCATCTTAAAATAAAGTGTAACCAGAATTTCTCACCACTCAAAGTTCCTGATTGGGTGGTTTCCTATCGAAATGAGTAGATTTCGCTATTGAAAATTGTATGAACAGAGATAAATGTGTCTTTTTGTGCTCCATTGAGTTATTTTTTAATAGTTTTTCTATGTAAATATGCTCTAGACTGACGTGTTTAACTGTTCTTTTCCCACATCTTTTGCATTTCTCACCCAACACGCTGTTCTAAAAGCCTTAAAACTTAAAAACTTAAAAGATCTTGCGTTTTTCTCAAAGCAAAAACGCATTCTGTATGAATAGCGTCTTAGCCATGCTGATATGATAAACAGTGCGCTTGCTTGTGATATTGCTTAAATAACTACTGCTATACAAAAATTCACACAGTCCATATTCTATCTTTTCAAGGCTGGTCCAGACAGACCAAGTAGCCTGTTGGATAACATATCAATGAGTCTAATGAAACATTGTAAACATTTGCTCCACTTGTATGACCTTTTCATGATGTTTTTGTGCATCAAAATCACATAACTGTCAACAAATTTATGGACCAAATAGTAGATTCATTTATCTGAGCATTTAAGCACACAGATGGCACTGACAATATTGAAGCCAGTGATTCCCGGTTGCTAGGTGATTTCACAATAGCAGACAACACCCACACATCAATCTCTTATGTTCACATTCAGAGTGAGAAAACAGTGATGTGCCAGCCACTTTCACATACAATATCACAATACTGCAGTCCATAAGCTTGGGATATCCAAAATGAAATGGAAGATGGAAACAGGAAGGACGAAATTATAGAGGGAGCTGTAGAACTTCATTCATACCATTTCATTTGTTTGGCTCCCATGATGCTATTTGCCCTTCTAACCTCCCATTCTGATCCAGCCCATCCCGTGGGGTTCGAGGAAGCAGCAGTGTGTCATCAACATAGCAGACGGCACAAAGCGTGTGCACATCCGAAACCGCACCACACAAATCCCGGTATAGCAGTCTAGTCTGTTGAAGATGATGATGGAGAACAGATCCCAGACCATGCAAATGTCCCGGTCCGTGCGTACCCTACCTACCTACCTGCTTGTTTGGCAGGTCTTCCTTTAGACATCCTTAACACTCGTGCAAAATGACCTTTTGACTATTCCCATAGATTCAACATTGAAAATCCCAGTAAGAGGCAGCATGTGTTTCTATGATAAGCATGATGTAATCCTGTTTATCAGTTCTGAGCCATAACAGGGGAGAAAAAGGCTTTTGAATGGTCTGCCGTCCCCCTTCTTGAATGTCCACGTTGTCTTGTGCGACTTGTAAGACTCCTGTTTCTCATTCTCCCTGTTTTTGTGCCTCTCTCGAAGGCAGTTCTGAGGGATTTTTCCTCTGCCTTTCTGTTTCTCTTCGCTCCTTGTCTTCCCCCGCCCTTGTTCCTTTTTTAGGAGTCAGACATGGTTCAGCCCGGCTCTGTTTACCCTCCCCTCCTCCATCTTCACCCCTCCCTTTCACACAGTGCGGTGGGCTCCTGGATGGAGGGGGGTGGGTGGTTGTGGGATGAAAAAATGGGCGTCACCAGTGAGCCATGCTGCTGGTTGTGTCTATGTGAAGATGACACACTTTAACCAGCTCCGTTAAACTAGAAGCATGTGGGTTATGATAAGTGCTTGATTTGACTGTGTGAATTACATCTTATATTGTCGTATTATGTCGAAATGAGAGAGTGAATGTGTGTGTGTGCATGTGAAAGTGAGAGAGAGGGAGAGCGAGAGAGAAAGAGCACGTTGAGTATGACCACGTCAGCTTAAAGCTACACTGTGTAACTCTTTTAGTTTATTCCTTGCTAAAAACACTTAGTTCTTTCAAAAATATATGTGCTCATTGATGTATATTTACTTCGTTCAAGTAATAAAGTATTCTCGTGAGTGTATAATATGCCATTTAAAATACATACGGGTAAGGGGTTCTAATGTCGGTCGCCATGTTGACCCTCCATCTTGGAAGTACATTAGCCAAAGAGGGACATACCCGTTAATTCAAGCTTCGCCTTTCACGTTTACGTTTAAGTTAACACTCCATGCCATGTTAATCTTGGACTACATTGGCCACCGTAGGAGTTAAAACGAAATCGGAATTGAGATGGGGGTAAAAGCTTTAAAGCTACACTGTGTGATTTTTACCCCCATCTAGTGGTGAAAATGTATATGACCATCCAGTGAATATTAGTTTCTGTTCCTCTCAATTCCGATTTCGTTTTAACTCCTACGGTGGCCAATGTAGTCCAAGATTAAAATGGCTTCAAGTTCGACCTCGTCCATGAGTGTTAACTCGAACGTAAATGCGAAAGGCGAAGCTTGTATTAACGGGTATGTCCCTCTTTGGCTAATGTACTTTCAAGATGGAGGGTCAACATGGCGACCGACATTAGAACCCCTTACCCGTATGTATTTTCAATGGCATATTATACACTCACGAGAATACTTTATTACTTCAATGAAGTAAATATACATTAATGAGCACATATATTTTTTGAAAGAACTAAGTGTTTTTAGCTAAGAATAAACTAAAAGAGTTACACAGTGTAGCTTTAAAATCCGAAAAAAGCGGATACTGTTCCACAACTCTGTCTCCACTCTCCATTGATGAAATCATTGGAATCATAATGCCAGACTATTAATATACTGTTTTTATTTTTCTGACATTCTGAAAGGGAAATTACTTAGATGCCCATAATTGTGCAAAAACGTATGCAGCCCTTTCCACCTTTTCTTTTCTTTCTATTTTGTGTGTGTAATTTTATTGACAATATGTCATATGGCAATAGTTAACTGTTTTGGCTTGTTTTTTATTTGTGTTACATTTTTATTCCAATGATCATGTGTTAATAGAACTGTCAATGATTTTCAAGATTTTCTGTATTAGCATTTCCTTTGAAGCAATTTTTACAAAGAAACAGCAAGTAACACTGAATTTAACATAAAATTGTAAAATAGATTGAAACAGTATTTTCTTTTAAAACACAATCATCTTTGTTTTATTTTTACATTTGTTTTAACCAAAAATAATGATGTTGAATTATAATAATAATTTTTTAAAAGTCCAAGGACATGTTATGCATGAACAACCCATTTATCCCATAATGGCTACATTCCCAATTTGTGCAGAGCAGGGTGATATTGGCAGTGGATTTGGAGTGGAATTAGAAAAACCGCAGTATTACTGGAAGAGATTACTCAGTCAAGGACAGTGTTGGGAAAGCTAAAATGGATCTAAATAAGCTTAGCAAAGCTACAAGCTACTTATAATTCAATGAAGTTCAGCCACAGTCAATCTGTGATTGTGAGTCAAAATTTGCAAGCAGCATTTTGTTCATTGTCTAACCATTTACATTTGAATTTCCCCCATCTTGCCAATACATTCTTTAATAAAGATGTACATTTATATAATATATACATGTACATATAATATAAAACCAAGTTGAGCATGCAGTGTCGTGGCATTGACCATCAGAATCTGTTTAGTTGAAAGTGACTTGTGTGAATGGCACTCTACACTATGACCACAATTAACCTTTTGCTCGCAAAATTGAGGGCACCTTAAGACATTTACTCTGATATGTCAGCTACAAGTATGACCATACTGTTTGTTTAAAAAAATATTTATAGAAACTGGTAATTTACTGTGATTTATTTGGTTCCACAAGATTTTAATTGATTGTTGGGCTGTACAAGACAATAGGAAACGGCTGTGCCGTCACATCACATTACTAATAAATGATAACCCTAGCCTTGCCTTGTTTTTAAAAAAATAAATATAAACTACAAACTATCATTGAATACTATAAATCCCCATAAAACTGCCCATGTGGCATGGAGGATCACCGCTGCTACTTTCTCTTCAGTGTTTGAGGAGCTTTCCCATTATCTTGTTTCACCAGAGTTCAGCCAGCCCGGACAAATTGCTTTATAGTTTTAATTCTGTTTGCAATACAATTTTAGATAATGTCGCTCCTGACGACTAAACAACAAAAGTCAACCCCCAAGCCATCACTTTTCCATCATCTGCCACCAGTCCTTCAGGTCACCATCAGTGCCGTCTCCAAAATATTGGTACTAGGGCTGTCAAACGATTAATCGTGATTAATCGCATCCAAAATGAAAGTTTGTGACACACACACACATGATTGTATTTATTTAAGAAATATTTTCATGTATATACAGTATATAGATTTATATATAATTTATATTATATATAAATATAAATATTTTATATATAAATAATATTTGTTCTTAAATATACATGCATGTGTGTGTATATATATATATATATATATATACATACACAGTGCACCCACATATATTATGTAAACACAAACTTTTATTTTGGATGCAATTAACCACGATTAATCGTTTGACAGCCCTAATTTGTACACATGGTCCCAAACCAGCACATAAATCCAACTACGATGTATGTGTCTTAATCACACAGCCCCACAGCCCCATTCCACAACACCTGTCCAACTCTCTCAGTCGGGACGGCATGGATGCCCATTTGCTCATTTATCACATCTGATTTACAGCAGATCATCAATCTTGCTGATTCGCCCAGTTCAGTCATTTTAGGGCACAATATTATCTTTCTGCCTGAGTTCTCCTCTGATAGCAGCCAAGAGGGAGCAGATAGTATCTGGCGTGTCCTGTCCAGGGCACGGGCGGTACAATCCCTCCTGGCACAAGAGCTTGCTGGGATGTGGCCAGTTGACATGGAGGCCTTTACTCAGAACCATTCCAACTTAGCCAGGCAAATATTTTTCCAGGCTTGTGAGCAGAGCGGCGTTAACACTATTCAGACCCCAGTGTTTGAGACTGAATGAGTGATGGGTGATTAAATAGTTTTTTTGTTTGAATGAGCCAGAGGGGAAGAGGGCAGCGAAAAACACTTTACCTCATAACTGGAGACTGATCAGCGGCTGACATAAGGTTTCTGGATGGGGCATATAAATACAGGGCCAAAGTAGAACATGCAGCAGGTCCACTATCAATTCCAGGCACTTCGCTGAGATACTATGGACATTTCTATACATCATCCCTGGTACCGCCGACCCTTATTCCCAGGCTTCTTCCCTTCTTCCCATCGAATTTATGACCAGTATTTTGGAGAGCACGTACCCGACAGCGACCTATTTTCACCTTTCTACACCATGCTTTACTATCGTCCTTATTTCTGGCGCTTTCCAAACTGGTGGGAGAGTGGCATGTCAGAGGTGAGTTAAACTGCTGATGTTGCTACAAATTAGCCATTACCCAAATAGCTAATACTTTTTTACTTTTTAAAGATTCATTATCCTTAACAAAACACTTTTAACAGCATTTTTTACAATACTATTTTTATATTTTAACATTGTTAAAGTTAATCTATACGACTAATGTTAAAATCATTCAAACATTTAGGGTTAGGAAACTAAAATCATTAAGCAGCACATTTTCAACTTTGATAATAATAGGAAATGTTTCTCAAGCAGTGTATTAGAATGATTTGTGACACTGAAGGTGGTGTAATGATGCTGTAAATTCAGGAATAAGTTGCATTCTTAAATATATTAACATAGAAACCTGTTATTTTAAATTGTAAAAATATTTCACAATTTAACTGTTTTTACTGTATTTTTAACGAAATAAATGTAGTCTCGTAAGTAGATGTCATGTCTACTGTATGTAAATAAATATAAGTCTTGGTGAGTATATAGACTCTCAAACCCTGAAAAGTCATACTGAGCTCAAACTATTGATGTTTGTTTATAATTAGATTATTAGATTAACAACTGCTGTAAAAGTATTGCTTTTGTTATAGTTCATGATGATGATTGATTAATGTTAATAAATTGAATCTCATTGTAAAGAGTTTCCCCTAAATTCTTGAGATTAACAGATTGTTCTTAATGAGCCAGTCACATTATTAGAGTTATAAAGTTTGCAGGTTTTCAGTCTTTTGCAGTATTCAGTTTGCCATTTTCCCTTACACAGGTGAGAATGGACAGAGATCGCTCTGCAATCAGCCTGGATGTGAAGCACTTCTCTCCAGACGAACTGACTGTCAAGCTCAATGATGATTTTATTGAGATTCATGGGAAACATGATGAACGGCAGGTAAGTAACAAAACAAGTATTTAAACTCACATTCATTTTATTGACCATTCTGTATAAATTAAGATGAGTATTTTTCTAGCATAAATGATGTTCATTGTTTTGCATTATAAAAGCAAGGTTAGACATGTTCAAGACATATTCCATATGGCAACATGTGAAGAACTTTCTCACTTTTATTCAAGAGTTTCAGTTAAAGTGAACTGGGCACACTCACATAGGACGTGTTTGGGAAGGAAAGGAAAGACCAACGACTTTTAACTAGGGCTGTCAAACGATTAATCACATCCAAAATAAAAGTTTGTGTTTACATAATATATGTGGGTGCACTGTGTATAATCATTTTGTATTTGTATATACTGTATATAAATACGTGCTTTTATATATTTAAGAAATATTTTCATATACTGTACATAGATTTATATATAATTTATATTATATATAAATATACATATTTTATATGTAAATAATATTTTTTTCTTAAATATACATGCATGTGTATTTATATATATACCGTATATATACACAGTGCACACACATATATTATGTAAACACAAACTTTTATTTTGGATGATTAATCGTTTGACAGCCCTACTTTTAACACCTTTTTAAACTTTAAACAGCATCCAATATTAGTCTTGACAAACATTTCCTTTTCTTATTAAAATGTCAAAAAGTTTGGGGTTGGAAAGACGTTTAAATGTTATTGAAAGAAATTTCTAATGCTCACTAATGCTGCATTTATTTGATCTAAAATACAGTAAAAAGTGTAATATGAGAAATAGTATTACAATTTAAAATAACTTTTTTATATTTCAATATATTTATATAATAGGTTTTAGTGTGTTAATTCAAAATTACCCATTTTTAAATGTTTTATTATAATTTAATAATTTTATTACTTAAGTCTTCAGTGTCACATAATTGAACAGAAATTATTCTAATATGCTGATTTACTGCTTAAGAAACCTTATTATTATCAATGTTGTAGAAATTATGATCCATCAACCGATGAATAGAATGTTCAAAAGAACCACATTTATTTGGAACAGAAATAATTTGTAACATTATTCGTGTCTTTACAGTCACTTTTGATCAATTTATTGTGTCAATTTTGAATGTCAATTTTAGTTTTTGTTTGCTTTGCTACCTCAACTTAAAGTGAGTCGATTCAACTTTATTTTCAGTGACCTGTTCTTGTGCAACGACTGATTTACATCACTTCGAAGAAACTGTTTCTGTTACAGAATGAGTATGGCATTGTGGCAAAGGAGTTTTACCGGAAGTTTAAGATCCCAGCCGGTGTAGATCCAGAGTCCATCACCTCCTTTCTGTCCTCTGATGGCTTTCTGAGCATCTGCACATCTCGCCGCGTGCTGGACATCAGCTGTGAAGAGAAGCCTCCAGCACAGAAGTAAACCCGTCAATAGCTGCACCTCTCTTCTCCAAACAAACCCAGCAGCTTCACCACGACTGAACAAAAACCAAAACAAGAGAACCAAAACAAAGTTATAAAACCAAAACCATATTTGTCCATAGTCAACAAAACAGTGCTTTAGGCCTGTAAATGCAGGTTGTTGTAGGAGTTGGGTTTGGTTTGTTATATTTATGGCCTACAGTTGGACAATGTATGTAATTATGTGGCTGACTTGGATGATGATTGTAACTTTGGCTTTTGAGAGGAAGCAGAATTGAAATGGGATGTTGTGCAGCATCTGAATTCAATAAATCCCCAGCTCAAAATACTCATGAATGCTGGTATAAATGAGCTCATCTGTGATATCTCAGCACATGTTGAGCATCTGAATGTAAAGTTTGCTACACTTATGAATCTGTTTGATACTGGGGTCTAAACTAGCAGACTAAGTTGAATGTGTTTTGCTGAATGTTGTTGCACTTAATGGACAGTAATAAAAATGACTTTGTAAATTATGACTAATCGCAGTGTCAGGGTGTAGACATCAATTATGTAAAACAGACAAATGTGAAGAAAAACATCCTGAGTTTGGATTGCTGATGACAAGGGTGTAGTTACTGACATAATACCCCCTTTTTCCCTCTACTGTCATTCAATGTGCTTTATATTTTATTTTCCATACCTTAAAGTGACGTGATACAACTAACAACTGTGATGGCTGTAGCTAATTTCAGCATTAAAAATTAAAAAAAAAAAGTTGTTTCTTTTCTTCTTTTTTCTGCAGGACTTACAAAGGGGCCTTATGATGAAATTGTAATTTATAAAAATATAATTCAAACAAGGACACTTTAAAGGTTCAACTAGATTTTAACTGAAAATGAAGGTGTTGAAATAGAATAAAGTACATAAATAAAATTTATTTGTGACATGGCATTACAGTCACATGCTTCAGAAATGATAATCTAATATGCAGAATCCATGACAGCATTCAAAAGACAACTGAAAACTCATCTTTTCCGTGAGCACTTAATATAATAATAATAATAATAAAAAAACTAATAAAAACAAAAACTTTAAATCCCTACTTGACTGGTTTATACTAGACTGAGCAATGTTTGAACTTTTTATTTTGAGCTCTTTCTTGGGTCGTTATTGCCTCTTCACGATGACTTGTTTGAATTAGTCCTCAGACGTAAGTCGCTTTGGATAAAAGTGTCTGCTAATGACTAAATGTAAAATGTAAATTTATGATGATTTGCTGCTCAAAAAACATTTCTTATTATTATCAATGTTGATGAAAGTTGTGCAGGCTGCTTAATATTTTTGTGTAAACAGTGTATTATTTTCACGCGCAGTATCTGTTCTCCGCCGTTAGATGTCGCCATCGCTCCTGCATCAACACTCCTCTGCTTCTAACACGGCGCAACTTTTTCCGGTTGGACTCTGTGGAGACGTGGCTCTGTTTCTTCAATATTACGAGTCAAGCAACATACTACTGTTAAAACAGAGCATTAGTCAACATATTTGACATTTTCTGCTTTTGAAACATCTGGGCAGACAGTGTCCGTGACCGAGTCCGCTGACGGATCCTCGTTTGAAAGGAAACAGAAATGGTATGACTGGTTTGTTTTGTGCATTTAGCATGGGGCTAGCAGCTAGCGATGTAGCTCATAGCTCACAGTCTGAAACTCTTTTCGTTTTTTAGTGTCAATTACTAAAAAGTGTCTATTCCATCTGTTTTTGTGTGTGTTAAAAACATCTTACAAGTAAGGTGACTTTGCTAGGTTTTTGATATCTGATACAGCTAACGTTAGCCAGCTAAAGGTTAGCCAGCTAACTTTGCCTTCAGAATTAATTACAGTTTAAGTAATTAACTAAAGTAAATAGCTGTCATTGTTTATATGATACAATATTGATATAATAAATTGCTATATTTTTATTGTTTTATCATTTATATATTAGATCATGTCTATGCAGAGAACAGGTTGTAGGTAACTGACTTTGACAATCCAAATGTTTACTTATAAATGACCCGCTATGGATCATGAAACATAAATAATTATAAATTATTATTATCATAATATATAAAATGCAGATAAAATAAATGTTGTACATATGGCAGACCTTCGTTGTCTTTTTTTTTAGCATTAAGAAAAATATTTTTTAGCAATGTTTACTCTATCATGTCAACCAATGCAGATAATTCGTATCTTATAGCTGATAAGCAGATTCGTTTTTTATGTATTTAATTTTATTTCTGGTGTTTGACAATCAAAAAACGTTGCATGCATTTGTGTGTAATATTATTTATTCACAATTAATTATGCAAATCTAATTGATTGGTTGCAAATATATTTTGTCTTTGTTTTGTCCCATGTCTAACTGCATACAACTACGTATTTCTCATTTAAGGACATTAGTATTATATGCTGTATAAACATATTTTGAATTAACTTATTATATATAAAATAAAAGCTTTTTTTTGTGACTTTATAACATTTCTACTTAGCTTTTTTCAGGTTTAGTGATTTATTTCTTTAGATTAACCTTGTTGTATTTAGTTTCAGAGGCAATATTTCTACAGCATTTTTGTTTGTTTTTTTATGCTTAAGTTGTTGATCTAACTTCAAATATATTTATTTTTTATTGATTTGGTTTTTAATAGCATGTAATAAATGTATTTACTCACAAATTAAGTCTCTAATACTATATTGTATTGTATTGAGTGCATGCCATTTATCTGATCCCAATCCTGAAGAATTATCAATTTGTTCTATTCCATACATTGAACTTAACTTACAAGTCAAAACTTTGATCACTTCATCTTAAATGTTTTGAGGCTCCATTTGTGTCATTTTATTATTTTCACTAGTAATGCAAGTTGACAATTTCTGAAATAAATATTGTGCTGCAGTCTAATTTCTGAATTCAGCAATCATCATAATGGTCAAAAATCCCAGTTTTCTTTTTAATTGTCCTTTGTCCGATTAAGTTTTGAATGTCCACGTAATCTTTGCAGGTGCTCTTGGCAGCGGCGGTTTGCACTAAGGCAGGAAAAGCCATAGTGTCACGACAGTTCGTAGAGATGACGCGAACCCGCGTCGAGGGCCTTCTGGCTGCCTTTCCCAAACTGATGAATACAGGCAAGCAGCACACTTTTGTGGAAACAGACAGCGTGCGCTACGTCTACCAGCCCTTGGAGAAGCTCTACATGGTTCTGATCACTACAAAAAACAGTAACATCCTGGAGGACTTGGAGACGCTAAGGCTTTTCTCCCGAGTGGTAAAGCTTCCTTTTTTTTTTTTACTCTCCCAATAATTGCTCTTCTTTGATGTATCTTGAATAAGTGATGGGTTTCCATATTTATTTCAGATCCCTGAATATTGCAGAGTATTGGAGGAAAGCGAGATCTCTGAGCACTGTTTTGATCTCATATTTGCATTTGATGAGATTGTAGCTCTGGGCTACCGGGAGAACGTTAACCTGGCCCAGATTCGCACTTTTACTGAGATGGATTCACATGAAGAGAAAGTCTTCAGGGCTGTCAGAGAGGTCTAATATTTGATGAAACAGCAAGGGGAAAATTACTCTCATTTTAAGTTTAAATCAAACACTAACTCTAATTTTCTCTCAATTCTCCACTTCAACAGACCCAAGAAAGAGAAGCAAAGGCCGAGATGAAACGCAAGGCCAAAGAGCTGCAGCGAGCAAGACAAGATGCTGAACGTGCTGGGAGGAAATCGCCAGGCTTCGGAGGTTTTGGAAATTCAGGAATGAGCAGCTACACATCAGCCACCATCATCACGGATACAATGGAGCCAGAGAAGCCCAAAGTGTCTCCTGCAACAGTCAGGTATGAGCTTTAACTGTGGGCCATGATGCATGGAAATATATAAGTGCACAGAAGTTAATCTGCCCTGTTCTTCCTGTAGGCCAAGTAGTTCAGGCAAAGCACTGAAGCTGGGTGTCAAGGGGAAAGAGGTGGATAACTTTGTGGACAAACTGAAGTCAGAAGGAGAAAATATTGTCTCATCCAGTGCAGGAAGGAAGGCATCAGAGGCATCTAAAGTCCTTCAACCTCCAGTGAATATAGAGAGGTAATGCTTACTGAGTTTATTTCGGGATTTGACACATCCTACTCCCTATATTGTTATGCACACTACCGTTCAAAGGTTTGCAGTCGGTAAGATTCTTTTTTATAAATACTTTTTTTTTTTTTTATTAAGTTAATTTGAGTAAATTAGTCATTTTAAAGTAAATGTAGTTAATCAAAAGTGCAAGTTAAGACATTTATGTTATTAATTAAGGTTTTTTAAGGTTAATTGCATTGTTTTATTGTTTTAATTGTTTTAAGGTTTTTTTAATTTCATCAATAAATCCTGAAAAATGTATCACGGTTTCTACAAAAATATTATTATTATTATTATTTTATTATATTAAAAATAATCAGCATATTAGAATGATTTCTGAAGGATCATGTGACACTGAAGACTGGAGTAATGATGCTGAAAATTCAGCTTTGCCAATCAGGAATAAATTGCATTTTAAAATATATTAAACTACAAAACAGTGATTTTAAATTATAATAGTATTTTACAATATTGCTGTTTTTTTTTTTAATCGAATAAATGTAACCTTGGTGAGCATAAGGGACTCCTTTCAAAAACATTTATTTAAATCATTAAAATCTTACCAACCACAAACTTTTGCACAGTAGTGTATTTTATGATTTTATTTTCAAGGTTTTTTTTTCTCCATTGGGTCTGATGGAGTTGTTCGGTTCCTTGCCACCATTTGCATTTGGCTTGCTCAGTTGGGGATATTCAAATTTTGACCCATCATATCATTGATCAGCTCTACCAAACTTGGATATCTTTTTTTTCCAGTAACAAACACACACTGTTAAGTTGTTTTGATTGATACTGTGAAGCAGCTTTGATACAATCAGTATTGTGAAAAGGGCTATATAAATATATTTGACTTGACTTTGACTATTTCCAGCTTATGTCTGTTGTTAATGGCAGTTTATGAACTGTGTTTCCCAGTGTACATCTAAGGGTGGAAGAGAAGATGTCTCTGACCTGTGGTCGGGATGGTGGGCTGCAGAACATGGAGGTTCTGGGCATGATCACTCTGAGAGTCACAGATGAAAAAAATGGCCGCATTTCTATACTCCTCAACAACAATGACAAGAAAGGAGCACAACTACAGGTGTGTGAGACACTACACAGCATGTCATGGTCTCAGCATGTATTTTGAAGGGGAACTTGTGGATTTTAGGAAGGACACTGTGTTCTCAGTCAATTTTCCCACTGATTTAGAACTTCAAAAATCGTTTGTCTTGACGGTGTGACTCGTTGTTTCATTTATCCTTCAGACTCACCCTCATGTTGATAAAAAGCTGTTCACCACTGAGTCCCTGATTGGTCTGAAAAACCAGGATAAGTCCTTCCCTCTCAACAGTGATTTGGGGGTGCTGAAATGGAGGATACAGAGCACAGATGAGTCCCTCATTCCTTTAACTAGTGAGTCTTTTTTTTTTCCATACTCAAGGATTTTGTATGGCAGCACTTTAATGAACATATCAATCATGCATGCATCTCATGTTGTCCTCTCAGTTAACTGTTGGCCATCAGAAAGTGGAAGTGGCTGTGACGTCAACATTGAGTATGAACTTCAGGATGAAGGACTCGAACTTAATGATGTTATCATTACTATTCCTGTGCC